AGAATGATCAAGGTAAGCGTGGATGCTGTGGAAAGAACGGAAGACAAAAAACTGGGGATATTTTGGGCGTATGAATGGGAAAAGGATGAATGGGTACTGGGTAACGAAAGAATCCCCGGATAGAGCAGTGTGAACGAGGCAGAACTGATAGCGTTTGAGAAAGTGATCGAAATATGGGACGTGAATGAGAGCGTGATAGTGATAACTGATTCTGACATGGATGCGGAACGTATGGTAGCAGAAAGAACGAAAAGTAGCGAGGATACAAAGAATGATTGAAGAGAGGAATTATCTATTCTGGAAGAGGAGCAAAAAAACAACAATTTTGGTAACAGAAAAGTTCACGAGAGGGGGATGTTGAAGGCATGAGTAAGGATAACATTACTTGAGACCTAAGGAGACTGGACTGGGAGAAGAGAATTAAAGAACGGCAGGAAATTGAAACGAGAGTGACTGAGTAGCTGTTCTACGGATTCTGTAGATGGGTATGGTATGACTTACTGAATCTGTTGCCCTAGACCACCCAGCTGCTTATGGGACATGACACTTTCACATAATACCTTAGCAGGTTCAACCTGGGCCCAGAGTTGCCATGTTTCTGTTATTATGGTGAGCCTGAAATTGTAGAACACGTGATAGAGGGATGAATGCATGGAGATAAGACTGGTATGCGTGAATAGAAAGAACGTAAGAAACGAGAAAATGGAGAATTAATATTGATAGGAGAGAAAGGCAGCGAATTGGCAGAAAACGTGATGAGAGATGATCGGGAAAGATGGAGGGTAGGCTATCAGCTTGCCGATACTGAACAGAGGGATGAACAATGGTCTCCCCAATCATGGTGAACATGATGAGCAGAAATTTATGTTTATATTGTGAAATGTGTTATGAATATAAATAAAAGGAGAGTATTTTGCACTTGCTTATTCGCCCCTTCATGTAGTCGACCTTAATCGTAGGTGTCACGAAAGTGAGGAAGAGTTCGGAGAAGTGGGGGTTCCCTTGACAGTGATGATGCTAGACTGAGGAAAAATGCTCAATTTTAAGACTTTTGGCCGGGGCAATATGGGCAACGGCACTTTTTATGTACTGCATGTAGTTGGTGCATGGTGATGTGGTTCACTATTGGAATTTGGACGACCGGTACAAAGTCGGCCGTCTAAAATCGGTGTGTGTGCAACTAGCGTCAGGGTGACTTTCGAAAGTGGTCTCTGGTTCTGCTTTGCCGGAGTTTTGTGCATATCCCTCTAGCGGAATCTGGGATCACCCCTATTCAGTGCGTCGTGAAGATCACGCAGAGCTAGGTTGGGAGTGTCCGGATATACTCGGCGTAGTTTTTCATGGGTGCATCCACGTACTGGGTACTAAGATCCAGGTCCCAGAAAATGAATCGGTTGGGTACGTATCTGGGAGCGTTTACGGCCGTTTGAAATTGGCATCCGTATGTTGCTGCGCACCAGCACCAGGTAGTGGAGGCATAGATGTCGATGGGAAGTGAGATGGCCTTGATTAGGAGCAGTTTCACTTCGGGATCCACGTTACTCCTGGTGGGTCAAGTAGCTTTCGCCAGCCCTGACCTCCGTTGTATACTGGAGGGTGATAACCAGGTGTCTTGCTTCATTTGTCCAAGGAAGCTCTTGTCCCTTGAAAATGACGTACCCTACAAGTAAATAGTATCGCTGTGATATTAGTCTGTGAATGGTGACAAAGCCCTTCGTTCACGAAAGTGTTGCTTGTTTGAGAAATAGTTGTTTGTCAAATTCTTCCATATGGGAAAGCTGAGGGTGACGACCGGTTAAAAATCCTCAAGGATTTGAACATATGAAACGTTCAATACAAGCTGTGATTCATTTAGCATGAGCTTCACAATCGTATTATGGATTTCTACAAGTTCATGTCCGCGCAAACTGGGGAATTCTCGAAATCAAATGGATGAATAATAAATGGAGATATATTCCACGGTCCGTCCTCCGAGACCTATTGTACCCCTGAGAGTAAACAGGGATTCGACCCTTATACTGTCAATATCGCAGTTCACGCGCTGAATAATGTGTGTGGTCATGTTTCAGGAGTTTACGGAATAACAAAAAGTGTGTTTGTTGCTTTCTGGAGAAATTCCACTGAATTATGCATCGCAACTCGACGTGCTGTATCCCTAAAACTGAAAAATACGTTTTATTTCTGACAAAAAACTTTGATTGCAACAATCATTTACAAATCTTATTTCACTGAATGAAAGTTCACAATAGTATTGATAACATGACTAATATTTCTTCTCCACTGATGCCAACAGAAATTATTCTTATTTTCTGATATCAGTTTGCGAATTAATTTCACAGGAAAACAAAATTCAATTTCGATTTGGGTGGTATTTCATGGCCTTTGAGGAAGATCGAACTTTTGATCTTCCTCTTGAAGATGATCACTTGGTGATCGGAACACGTGTCTAAGTGTTGAAATAACGGTTTGATGTTGGGAAAAATCTCCATGAAATATGCATTCTGTATCCGTATCTGTAGATTGTACATCCTCCCGAGGAGTTTTCCTTCTAGGTCATCGTGGATCCTGTCCTTTCCAGGAAGGTGGACAGGTCAGTGGGAGATATTTTCTATATGTCGGCAGGTGTAGGCCAAGACTGGTCGAACACACACTCTCTTATTGACGATAACTCCGGGCACTCGCATAGGACATGCTGACAGTCTCATCTTTCTGTTCACACATCCTGCATAGAGGGGTATCCATTAGCCCCCATATTATGGAGGTGTCAGGTCAGAAATCCTACTGTTAGGCGTATATTTTTCCTGGTCATCGCCAGATATTTCTTCGGCGCCAGCTTCCCAGGGTCGCCAAGGGTGATCCTGATAAGATTTCATCGTTTGATTCCATCCCATCCCATTAGGGATTGAGCATGGGTGCAATATTTGGCTGATTCCGCAATTGCCGAAGTCATAAGGCCGTAGGTGCCACTGGGTCTTAAAATTCTTAGTCCAGTCACTTCCTTGGCTAAAGGGTCGACAATGCGATTACGTTGTCTGTTTAAGGCTAATAGAGCTTGTCTACTATCAGTGCCTATTGTTATGTTTCTGCTAGGAATTCCTTTCCTTTCACATTCCCCACTCAATTCGTAGGCTTAGTGATCTGAGCCTTCTTTGGTTTTTGAGCCATCTGTATATATATTCGTATTGCATTTGTAGCATCTGATTCTGTTTTCTGTTTTATTTGTATTTTGTAGGGTTTATCAAACACAAAACTGGGTTCAATTGCATCACTAGTTGCCTGCAGCAGAAGTTGCGCAGTAAACGCATCTCGCCATAGGCTCAGCCTCAATTGATCCATTCCTACTTGGCGGTTTACACCAGCCGTACATGGTCGTAACATGGTCATTAACGCAACCTCCTCAAGGTAGAGGTCCAGAGGGGTAAGACCCGTAATTATTCTCATTGTCACGGTGGGTGTTGTTCTCATGGCTCCTGTGATGTATAAACAAGCCAGTTGCTGTAATTGATATAATATTTGGATGTCCGTTGCTTATGGAACTTTCGGTCTTCATGCAATGGCTCCGTACGTTAACATATGTCTTATTATTGCAGCGTAGATCCAGGTGATTACAAAGGGTGAAAGACCCCATGCACATCCCACTGTCCTCCGACATTGTTTCCTGTCGAGGATAGCACCAAGGTATTTCACTTCTTCAGAGAAGTTTAATTTGCTTTTGGAGATTTCGGGAGGTTTTGAGCCCGATGAACATCTTTTCCTAGTGAATAAAAGGACCATCTCAGTCTTCTTGGAAATGATCGACAGTGACTGTCCTTCCACCATGTTTCTATTAATTTGAGCCCATCCTGCGCTCTATCGCAGAGTGTGTTCACAAATTTGCCAGTCTCCAAGATAACTATGTCACCTGCATATACAATTGTGTAGAATCCATTATTGTTGAGGTGATTAATCAGGGTATCCAGAACTATGTTCCAGAGAGGTGGTGATAAGACCCCTCCCTGTGGACATCCCCTCATAGTAATATTCATTACTACACTAAAGGTTACAAGCAAGTACATACATTTTTTATATCAATCATAATTTCTTAACCACTGCAAAATCCTCCGAATATTATTTTCTAGGGCTCATTTTGAATCAAATGAGCTCTTGATTATAATTTGAGGATCTTCATATATATTTTTCACGTTTTTTAACTTGTTGGTTAGTTTATTCATTTGATAATGTAGTGCCTCCAATTCCCCACTGCACAGTGTTGCCAAACGTCTCACCACTACTGAACTCTGTCCATCCAACAAACAAAGTAACCCAAACAATGATAGATGCAAGATCAAAGCATGATCACCACGTACATTTGCATATATTGTGTAAAATAAACAAGCCTCTTTACGCTGGCCAATCAGGTTCAACTGCAATCGGCTGGTAGTACATATACGGTAGTTTGAGGTTTGAAATTTTTTATATATCAAGTACTTATACGACTGAAGAAACTGCTAATTTGTGTCCCTAAATCCATCTGAAAAATGTAACTATACCCAGCTGTATATTATTGAAAAACTTCTTAGTGCGACTCTGTACAAGCAGCCTTGTCTGGGAGATCTCGTGCACCATGAAATGTAATCTTCTGGAGCACTCTGTTGCTTAGATGGACAGAGTATAGTTACTGGCTGGATCCTAGTGTGGCATAAAAGACGCTGATAACGTCTTTTACATAATATTTCAACTCATTGATCTTCTAAGAGTTCATAATTTACTTTTGTGTTGAGTGAGATATGTTGGCATTATGGTAATCTACTGCATTTTCCTTGAAACACGAGAAATAGAGATGTTTATCAGAGAAAATATTCACATCAGTCATAACACGATTGTCAAAAAAACAGAATTCGCTTGACGAATATGTCCATATTACACATTTGAAGAATCATCTCGTATCTACCTCAAATAACGAGTAAGTCCCAAAATAACGATATCAACTGTATGCTCTGCAAACAATGGGATTCACTATTACAAAAGAATCCAAATATCAGTCGAAATTGTGTTTGTGATCAAAACGCGCGTCAAATCTATACAATGGGAGAAGATACGTCGACAGATATGGAAACAAACACGTCCAAGGCAAAATCCTTTTTTGGCATCAACAAGAACTTGATTTTGCTGAAATTGACTCTTTTCTTTCTCTATGGAGGTTTGTAGCTTTGTAACAGAATGTATCCGCTCATATTTGATTGGATTCATAAAAAATAACTTATTTTTGAAAAATTACCTCAACTTGTTTCAGATCAGAACAATTGTTTACCACTGATATGAATTATAAATTGCACAAACTATGGAAAAAAAGACGTATGAACATATCGGAAAGTGATTCGAAATCATAAACAATTCTTAATCCACTCCTATTGAAATACACCAAATTGCCACTATTTACTTATAAATGTGATTTGTGACAGTCAACTCAGTAGGATTGGAGTCGCTTTAGAGCAAACTCGTGATTCAAACTTGTCGTCACCTCTGAACAAATTGAAAAAATCAGATAGGATTGATCAACATTCAATTGTTGTGAGCTTATAAATTATTGTATGTAACTGAAGTGATAACAATTATTTTATTATTCCATTGTAATGAAATGGAACTACCTAAGTTCACTTATTGACTACTAACTAATTGAGAAAATGTTACAAAGTCCCAGCATTGCAAAATATTGAACTTCTAACCATTCGCTTCCAATGATGGTTTCTCAAAGCGAAAATTGGTTTATACATTCAAAAACCTGCATTTATGCTCTTTCAATCTTTAGGAAAAAAATTTCTTGTTTGACCTATTTTGCCTTTATATTTTTGAATAAATTTGTTCGAATTATCATTTGTTTTGGGAGCTACGTCGCTCAAAATATGAGCGGTATTATTGGTGGTTTTGAGCTACGTCGCTCAAAATATGAGCGATATTATTGGTGGGTTTCTTGGAGTTTTATAAACTTGTTTCATAGCTTGTTTCCATAGTTTTTCGATAAAAACGGAAACAATATATATCTTGTAACTGTTGTTAACAATTACGTATAGATGAATGATGGATATTTGATAAGGGAAGAGAATTTTTCAAAGACGTAAACCAGAATATTCCCAGATAGTAGATATTTACTTAAGTCATAACTCAAAAATTGAGGTTATTAGTTAACCTCACAGAATTGATGATGATGACGTGTTCTTTTGACTGGTAGAGTGTCATTTTTAAGCTCAATTTTTGAGTTATGACGTTGTTGCAGCAAATGAGCGATGTGTGTGCATATGTATATTAGTATATATGTTGATAGATCTGTTATATATGTGCTATATCTGGAATTTGTTCACAGAAAGAGACTCACAGTATTGCATCTGATTTAGACTTCTACCTGACCTTGACCCAAGTACATCCGATTGTACATCCGATTTATAATATATGTGTGTATGTGTGTGTATATATGTGTATGTATATATGTGTGTGTACATATGTATGTATATATGTACGCGTATATAAGTTTTATATAAATGAAATGAAATTACTAAAATGTCAGCATATATTCATGTTAATGTTTGTGAATGAATGTATATAATAATTTTGCTTAGGGCAATAACAGATACAAGCAACATTCACATTGCTTCCGTGTTGCCGCTGTTGTGCTTTTTTATGTAAAATGTTTTTTTTCTGTGAATCAACATTATTATTATTATTATTATAAGAATGAGCGCAGATCAAGATCTTCAGATGATGTGGCGCTGCAGGTGCTGCAAGTTATTCCGGGTTTTCTTGAAGCAAAAAAGCAAATGCGCAACTGAAATCAGTGAAGTCGCCCTAAAGCGCCAATTAATTTCTGTTGTTGTTTCATAATTGCATGATTTGTATTTTGGAAGTGTTATAAATTATGAAATATATAACTGATATCAATAATATATGTAACATATATATTTACACGATTGATGTGGTTTTTCAGTTCATCAATTATGACTCTGACTCCCCTTTTTTGAAAATCAATTCAATGTTCACCAAACATATTCGCAACCGCATCTCATCAAATACAAACACTCTATGTTATAACAAGAATAGTACCATTGATTTGAATTTCTTTAGCAACATCATCTCTGGTTCCCTACTTGACAATCCACATGCAAAGCATAGGAATCTCCATGGAACAAGTAGCTCTCATCTATTTAGCTCTTCCTTTCACTACCTTCATATCACAACCTCTGACGGGTTTGTTAGCAGATAAATTCGGAAGATACAAGCCGTTGGTCATTGGATTGTTTCTTCTTACTGCTGTCTTACATAATGTTCTTCTCTTTTTTCCCCAACAAGAAACTCCCGGAACTGTTCCCGCTGGGTATATAATCAGACACCCGAAGAAGACATATGTAGAGGTGAGAGTTCAGAATCAACCAGTTTGTAGAATAAACATGCTGAGTTTTATCGAAAAGAACATATATTATCTAATCCTAGCACTAGATTTATGATCAACTGAAACGATTTTTTCAATTGGAGTAGCTCTATATGCGATATGTCTTTCAGGTATGGTGGAGTCCTTGCACAAGCAGAGAATGTCCCGCAGAGGAAGAACTGGATATTGTCCTAGACATGTGTGTTGATCATTGCCTATTGAAAAACGCGAAACATAAAAACCGAAAAGACAAGAAAGTAGTGCCAGTAGATCTTGGTGATGCAGATGACCTACCTCTTCGAATCGTCAAGAAGAAAGGGTTAGTTTCCCTATCGCATGACTGTCCCCTTTCCTGTGATGTGGCATCCTATATTGTGGACCAACCCACCTGAAAACCAATAAATTAACAGAGTATCATTTTAGGAACGATACAGCAACTGCTTTCACTCTGGACATGCATCCGAACTTAGGAAATCCAATCGAACAGTTTGGTATTGAGCTGGAATCTGCTGAAGACGATGCGGACATAACCTCATTCAACAAACGTTTCAGAGCTGGAATCCTCAAGAAAAATGGCGTGGACATTAAAGAGCTTGAAAATAAGGACTTGAGATGTGGAGGAGTCATCGATCTGGATATGAATACTAAAAAGCTACTCTCCAACGCCACCAGTGACTGCATTATACAGAAATGCCAGTTCAGATCAGGAGGACCGGAAGTTTGTCCCCCTGACTTCAAAGAGATAGATACCCGAACTTTCTGGCTATATTTTTTGGTTAGATTCCTTGGCACTGTTGTCCAACTTGGAGCTGTGATAATCATGGATCCGGTAGCGTTGGCTATGATAGAGAAGCATGGAGGAGACTTCGGAAAGGAACGTCTGTTTTCGAACTTGGGGATGGCTATATTTTCTCCAATAACGGGTGCTTTGATAGACTTTGCTTCTGCGGAGTTGGGGTACACTGACTACTCTGCTGCCTTCTATACATTTGATATACTGCTTCTGTTAGCTTCCATAACCCTCTTCTTCATGCCTCTAGAGGCTAAAATACCAGCGGATAACGTCTTTGGAGACCTCTTCAACATCTTCAAAATGCCGGCAATAGTACTTTTCATCATGTTCCTCTTCATCCTTGGAAACATTTGGGGATTTATTGAAAGCTACCTCTTCTTCTATCTGAGAGATCTGGGAGCACCCAACTCACTACTTGGCATCACTGTAACAGTAGGAACGCTCAGTAGTCTGCCCTTCTTGTATGGAGCAGAAGCTATTACCAGAAAGATTGGACACGTCAACGTCATTATTATAGCTTTCTTCGCGCATGCGGCTAGATTGGTAGGATATTCCTTCATAGAGTAAGTCTTTCAGCTTTTTTTCATCTACAGAAAGTTCTGGAATGAGTGGTATTTCATTACAGAAGTGCCTGGTGGTGCTTTCCCTTCGAAGCCATGGAGTCTCTGTCGGTCCATTTGATGTGGGTGGCTGCTGCTACTTATTGTGCTGTCCTTGCCCCCAAAGGACTCCTAGCAACCCTTATCGGGGTGTGTGGAATGGCACATTACAGCATAGGCAGGGGTAGCGGTAGCTTCGTAGGGGGGCACATTATCGCCAAATTCGGAATTCAATTGGCCTTCAGATTGGTAGGAGTCATAGCAGTGTGCGCGGGGTTGCTGTATGCTTTCCTTCAATACGCTTTGCTGAGAAATGTAACGAAAATCGAGGATGATGACGACACAAGTGAGTTTTTCAATGAATAAAACCAATAGTGTGAACATTTATCGTTGAAGATAACCGAGTCGAAGTTATTTTTCGGGTCTATTGATCGTGAGCTGCATCTACAACTGCGGTAAACATTATCTACTACATCTTTCAGGGTTCGGCTCTTCGATTTCACTCCAACATTGCAGGACATGTCTTTCATTTGTAAGGTAGTAATTTTCTCTTTATAATACCCGGTGTTCATTACGCAGCATTTCATTCGTCAGCACTACCCTCATCACTAATGGAGAATTTCAAAAACCTTCCTTTCTCCCTCTGTTGTGTTGGATTTGAGTGGTTTTGGGCAAATGAACTCCACAACGTTTCATTTCGGATTTCCTCCATAATGTACCTTTGCTGAATGAATATGGAAGTCACCTTCCATGAGTATGTTGAACTCTTTTGATCTGGTGTGCGCGAGATAGGCATTGGCTCTGCTATCAGAACAATGATTCTTTTGTAGAGAATAACCCACTTCAAAGTCAATAGACCATGATATATTTTTCCAATCTAGTGAGGACCTGAACGGCGGTCAGTTTGCAACTTTTTTTGTAAGGTAGGTAGGCAACACAAATGTGCGACTTTGGTCACACTCATTTCAGAGAAAGAGTTCTTTTAATCCTCAAGGTAATTTGAAGTTATCCAGGTCGGATCATGTTGCTGTATACCATATTCTGGAATATTCTTCATTGCAGCATGGCATACTGAAGAAGTATAAGTTAATTGGTCGATATTGAAGTTATTGGACATTCCAGGAGCAAGATATCCGTTCCAATATTGCAGAGCATCTGTGAGATATCTCACATACATGATTTGGGTGAAAAATCGTTTGAGAGCAAGAATTTACCGACCTGTTGAGAAAGGGTTAGTTTTCTTTCTTAACACAGATTCTGCTTTTACTGCTGAATAATCTAGTGTGAGGCAGGTATTCTGCTTTCAAGAAAGCTTGACCACTTAGCTAGGATCAAGAGTTGGATGACTGAAATATTCTAGTTCTTGGTCCGATATTTCAGAATGAGCAACTCTTCCGTATACTCAAGTCTGATTCTTTGTCCATTTTATGGACAATAAAGGATCCCACGAGTGATTAGAGCTTGTTATAGCAATAGGGTGGCTGGTATCATGAAGGTTCCGTTAGGAACACTGAGTGAGCTAGGAGTCATACATCTTTTCTACGAGGATACATAAACCTTAGGATGAGACATCATGCAGGAGTACTCTACGGATGACACTATCCCCAGAAATATTAATGGAGTTTTTTTTTCCAACACCAAATCATCATTTCCAACATCTCGACACACCAAGTGATCATCTTCAAGAGGAAGGAATTCAATGCCTGGGGTTTCGTGGTATTGTTATCACCTCTAGATCCTCATTAAGATATGCAACCTCCTGCTGCCGTTGAAGGTGTACATCCGCAGCTAATGTCCTGGAATCCAAATAAAATAACAAGACAAGTGTGCTGTTGTTAGTGAAGCTCTCTAAAGCTGGAGAGCCAAACACAAAAATGATCCGACAAGCCATAGCATGGAAGTTTGGCATGGAAACCCTCATGTAACACATGTTCGAAGACCATGGAGCGAAATACCTCTTGACTTTTCAGTGTGGCTGTGGAGTGGGACGCAAATTGTTCAGCTAGCAGATTTGTGTTTTGTATGTCTGTTGTATCAATTGAACCATCCGCTTGTGTTAGTGGTGGAATTATGGATTTTGTAAAGTTTTGATCAACAGCTTTGACTGAGGCAAACATTTTTCACAAAAATTTTCCACACGTCGTTTGGTAACAGCTTGTTTTATATTTTTCAGAAACTGATCGATGTAGTATGTGCTTTGAAGATATTCGCAGACCAAATATCAGGCAAACCCTTTAACATAACTTCGTTTCCAATAGGACTAACTTCTGAGTCAGAATTTGATGTGTTGAATTTTTGTTTAGGTTCAGAAGAATCTCTCAGATTCACCGAGCCTGAGCCCAAGTTCAAAGACCAGGGTACGATGGTGAGCATGGAACGACTTAGCTTAGTTGTGGAGTACAACCCAAGCGGTTCGATTACTTCGCTTGGAAGAAGACATTCTGTTAGAAGACACGAGAGTATGCGAAGGTCAAGCTTGGGCCCGTTAGCCAAAACGAGGCAATCTAATTCCAAAATTGATCTGTTGAAGTCGGCTCTCGAAATAAACCATGGGAGATTGAGGCACAACAGTGAGAGGGTGGGTCAATAATAATGATAATAGGATGAATTTGAACTTGATGAAGTATACTTGTGATGTACTGTTTGGAACTTTTGGTGTAGTAATGAATATCACTGGAGTTTTTTCACAACATCAAACCATTATTTTAACACCTCGACACGTGTTTCGATCACCAAGTCATCATCTTCAAGAGTATGATCTTCCGTTATTTCAACACTTCGATACGTGTTTCGATCACCAAGTGATCATCTTCAAGAGGAAGATTGAACTTCCTCTTGAAGATGATCACTTGGTGGTCGAAACACGTGTCGAGGTGTTGAAATAACGGTTTGGTGTTGGGAAAAACTCCAGTAATATTTCTGAAGTACGTGTATTTTTCTTCTTTCTATTGAGAGCTTTCGACATCATTTGTTCTCTATTGATGTCTAGGTCGTACATGTTGAAAATGATGAATATCACTCCGAATCATACAGAATTGAACTAGGAGTATTTCTCAGGCTTCATTTTGGAATCTCTCATTTTTTTTTGTATATTAATGGGATGTTGAACTATGAATTATATTACCTCACATGTAAATGACACAACTCTAGCAAATGATGTTGACAGTCTCAAAGAATCTCGAAGAAAGCTGAATATATTGTCATCTAAATTGACTTAGATTTTTGAAAATCGTCCGCCTTGTGCAGAAAAGATAATATTTTCAAAACAAACCTATATAATTTCTGTTTAACAATTGATACATTAGAACAGGTGTCTCCAAACTACGGACCGCGGGCCAAATCCGGCCCGCCAGTGTCATCAATCCGGCCCGCGACAGCCAATGATTTACTGTCATCAATCTGGCCCGCGACAGCCAATGATTAATTTAATGTTATAGTCTTTGAGAACAGCTATGGTTTCATTACAAATTAAACATAGCGCCTTATTACTGGACTCAATCACAAAATACTGAAAGTTCCATTTTTCTTGGAACGTTCTGCATTCACTGTCGATGTTTCGCTTCTTTTCCATACTAACAATAACAATACACACATAAAAACAATAAGTCAAATCAAAATACTTTTATTGACGGGTAATACTTTATTTCACAATAGACAGTTCCGCTTCTTTCGCCTTTCCTACGCAGACTAACTCGCAGTTGCGCCGCTAGCCTTTTTATATGCAATTATTACTGCCATCTCGAGGGGATCGATCAGAACTTTCCCGAACTAACGCGGTAATTCCAAATATTCAATTACGCCTAATGCCACCTAGCGGGTAGCTGAAAAAGATAGTACATAGTACCACTAATCGCCACTAGATGTCGTTAAGTGTCACAATACACAATAATAATTGAAATGCGAAAAAAAACGTAAGTTTGCTAATGTCACGCACTTTGCGACTATCCTAGTCTAGAAATATAGTTAAGGGCAGAAATTGGCCATTGGAACAAACTGAAAAAATCATTATGGCCCGAAGTCTTCAAAGTTTGGAGACTCCTGCACTAGAACATGTGAATCAACATGATCACTGATATTCTTGACTCATATCTTGAGCTCCATTTAGGAACAGGCATATTTATATGTATGTATTTTCTTTATGAAATATTTTACATCGTTATTTTGAAATAAACGAATATTCAGGAACAGAATGATGACAATATTGATGTTAATCAGGCACATACATGAGAATGACATTATGAATCTACTGAATGTGCTCTGAGCACATAATAACAATAATAATATTGTCCTTATTATCCTCAATCACATTTCAAGCAAATTAATCGGGTACAATTCAATTGTTATATGAAGATATAAGGCGGAGTTCAATTTGCATCACGGCAAGTCATCATTCAATTGCTCTTCCACTTAACCTTAAAAATTTAGCCTAGTACGCAAAGGAATGCACAAAAATGGATTCCAGATGATCACCCATACACGAAAAGCGGTCTTTTGATATTTTTTTATCATTGCAAATAATTCTAGCCACCTTAAAAATAAAATCAAATTTTCCAATTGTTTTCAAGAGCTTCCATTTCATCTCAAGGATAGCTCATTTCCGCTGTTATCATAACCTTCATTGTTTTTGCTGCAGGATTCTTCAAATCACAAATTATATAAAAGCGCAAGCTTGATACAACCAGACAAAGAAGACTCGATTCCCAACGAGAAAGATGAAATTGTTTATGACGAAATCAAGAGAAAGGCTCAGAAGGAACAACAAAAGAGCGCTGAGAAGTTGGAGAAAAAACTAACCTCTTCTGAAAACGTCACTGCATCCGAAACACTCTATGAGGAGATCAAAACGAGGTCGGAAGATGTTCCCAAAGCTGTTCCCTAACATTTTCTGAGTTTAGGTCCTGAATTCGATTTCGGCTGTGTCAGTCGATTACAATTAGTTTCTTCAATAAAAATATATCAGCAACTAAGTCATTCTGAGTTTATTCATTTTCCCATGAATATAATGTTGGGTTTCTCTTTCAACTGGAATGAATATTCGTTCAGAATGTTGTTATTTTGAAACTTTCGTATCAGTTTTTCAGTTTAGAATTTCATAGCAGGTGAACCCATGATGCAAAATGGGGATTAACTCGAGCGTCATTGAGATTTATTAAGCAAACCTTAGATGATGAGGAGACATTTTTTTTATATAATATATACCTTTTCATCGGTGGGGGAAGCGGCTATAGATTTTTAAATATGTGAAAAAATACTGTTGCATGGACATACTCGAACGCGT